GGCTGGAGAGACAGTGGTTCCTTGATGAGGTTCTTGTCATAAGAGCTGGTAGGAGTGCAGGCACAGTTGGCAGAAGCCCCATGCCTCTCAGAGCCCTGACTTAGGTTGGCACATGCCCTGTGCCTCTGTTCTACCCATCAAACAAGTCACACGGCCAGGACCGACAACAACAAAAACCATTGCAAGATATTGCTGGGCTATAAGACAAAAGGCTAGAGTGTGCTCATCTACAGAGTGCTGAGCTCAACAATCTGTTCTACTACATTTCACCGTGGGCACAGGAAATTAGGACCATTTAAGGGAAAACAGAATTTAGGAAAAATGCCCCAGTCCGCTAGTTCAGAGCCAAGTCCTGCAGACTCGACACTTCTCCATGGTTTGGAGTATGTGGGCTAAAGGGGTCAGGTCCATCTGGGAAGACTAACAATATGGCATAGATCTGTTTGGCATGTGTGTTATAGAGGAAGTCTAATGAGCCAAGTGTAAGTTATTCAGAGTGAAATTTCCAAGAAGCGGGCCCAAGGGGGGAAAAACCTGGATTCAAGTGTTGAATTCTAAAAGTTCCAGTTCCTTGGAGAAGGAGAGGTCTTCACTGCCAGGCAGATGTCTGGAGTACCTCATACTGAGTCCAAAGGACAGAAGAAGGTGACCAGCTCTGAATTGGAGGTGAGAGAAGACGCAGTTGGCACCAAATGAAAACAAGCATGAAGAAATGATGCCTGGTCTCACCCGCACAGGCTTCTCACATCTGGGAAATGGTCAGTCCCCAGGGAAGCATGCGTGACTTCTGCTGATGCAGGAGGAGGTGTTCAAGCATTGCCAATGAAGCATCAAGCAGCAAAGAGAAGGAGCTGGAAGAACCCTTAGAGATCTAGCTTTCTATTATGTGTGCCTTGCTAAAGAGTTCCGGAGTGCCGCACCTTTGAGACACGTATTTAACACCAGAAAGAGTATACAAGTGTGAGCACGCAAACATGTAGAAAAAGCACTGCCTCTCTGTAGATAGACAGTGGCGTATGCAGTATTCAAACCATCTGTCCTTAGCTGGGCATTGCTGTGGTTTGAAGAAGGTTTGTCCTCTGAAAGCATCTGTTAGAGGTGTGGCCTTTGATGTGGGGATGTGGGGAGATGCTAGACCTTCAAGAGATGAAGCCTAGAGAGAGGCCCCCAGGTCCTTAGTGGTGCAACCCTCAGAGGGAGTGATTTTCGTGGGATCCTACCTTTGTTCTCATGAGATTGGGTTGTTACATGATTGTCGGCCCCTGTCTTATCTTCTGGGTTCTTGTTTGGGGATGGTCTCTTCCTCTCGTATGTGCGAATGCCATTGTTTCAGCAGCCATTCTAGGTCCCACTAGAGCCAAGCCAATGCCAGCTCCATGTCTCTGAACCCTACAAACTACGAACTAATCAAGCTCTTCCATTACGCAGTTATCCACCTTTGGGTATTTAGTTGCAGTGATAGAAATAGGGGGCTGCAGGTGCGCGCTGTGCATTGTTTCATTTAATGTGAGGCTAAGCTCTTGATGCAGGTGTGCTATGCTGTGGAAAGACTGTGTAGACGGCGTCATCCTGGGTGTGGTGCTGCGCATAGTGTCATGCACGTGCTTTAGGTATAAGTAGGTGTTTTATGCTCTAGGTGACATCGTACTGTGTGTCATATTGTGTGTCATGCTGTAGGTGGGATCTTGGTATGTGTCAGGTTTTAAGGGTTGCGATGTGTGTCGTATTGTAGATGTGCCTTGCTGTGGGTGGTATTATGCTGCATTGTGCCATTAGCAAGCAGCAGCCCGGTGGGTATGTATGCAGGTTACATCTGAGAGCCCAGAATTTCCGAAGCTTGTTTTTGTGACTTTTCCTTTCTTGGTCATGCCGTGGAATCTTCCAGGAACCAGAAGAATTATGACTGATTGCAGGCAAGAGGGGAAGCTCTACTTTATTATAGCACTACATTCTCTGGCATAAAACAGAAAATGCCACCTTAGTAAATTTCAGATTAAGCTAAACTGAGGAGTAAAATTCTTTATTCCTGATATCCTATGAGACTCAAACTTCTCTCGAAGAGCAGAGATGAACGCGTGATCTCCAAGAAAGGATGCTTCAAAAGGTAGCCAGGTAGACCAGTAGTGGTGGCACATACTTTTAGCCCCAGTATTATGGAGGCAGAGGCAAGGGGATTGCTGTGAGTTTCACACAAGCCCAAGCTACATAGTGAGACCCTGGCTCAAAAAAACCAAACAACCGGAGCAACAACAACAGAATGCAGCACGGCCATTGTCTAGTGTATATTTGCAGAACGGTTCCACTAGCTATCTGCAGCCACAGGTGAAACGGCTTGCTTTTCCTTCTTAAAGAAAGATCTCCGAAGTCCTTGTGAAAGTACCGCATAGGCTGAAGCATATTTTTCTGGACTTGGAGGCTGCCGCTCTTAAAGCAGAGCTCCTGGCAGCTTCCGACGATGCTTCACTGTAGATGAAAACCCAGAAGAAATGGACAAAGGGGAATGGTAAAGTGTGTCTTGGTAGCTGCTGGCAAGGCCTCTCAGAGCACATTCAGTTCACGGGCTGTTAGGAGAGGTAAAGACAATGTGCTATTATTCTCTAGAAGTTATTAGAAGATGGCTCATCCAACCGCACTCTTGAGAGGCCTCACAAGGAGGGAGCCCTAAGGACACATGTCCCAAGCTTTGCGAAGTGTAATATGATAAAGCAGGAGTTTGGAGTGGAAGCGGAGTAAGGACCACCCAGTGGAGCCCACCAATAAAAGTCATGAAAGGGGGTGCCCTATTCAAAAGGCAAAGGAAGGACCGGGCTCTTGTTAAACTCTTGGTCAACACTACATGCTGCTTTAATGACTTCCAAACGTATTTGTACAGAGAAAAGTACAATCCATCTACTGTGCATACCAGGGTCATTGCCAGGTTACAATCCAATCCTCCCTCCCACCCAAAGCCAGAGCTGACTTCCAGACAAAATCAACCCCTCGATGAGAGGATGGATCTTAAATCTGAAGCCCTTCCTGCCACTGTGATCACACACACTTCCCTCCTGCAGGAAATGTGGGTCTTGGCACTTGTGACCCTGTAGGATCAAAGTCTTGTCCCTGAATCAGTCTCAAGGGACTGATTGTCCCTTGAGACTGATTTCCAGCATGCCTATCTGTTTTTTGTTATTGCTTGGTTTAGGGGTTTTGGTATTTTTAATAGGCTCCTTCCTTAGTCTTTGAAGTGTTGGAGTTAGAGATGGGTGCCACCACACCCAGCAGTCTGGACCATTGGGAAATGGCAGTGCCATAGCTTAAATTGCTGGGCCCTTGGTTTGAACCTATTCTCTATAGGCACGGTGCACAGTATATGTGTGGGGACTGTGGAGACTTGGGCATGCTGGATCTTGTATCATAGCACAAGAATTGACCTGGGAATTAATGAAGCACACCACGGAGGTACAGAAACTCCCTGCAGTGCAATGATCTGATAGGTCTCTGGGGAATGGAGTATTTAACTGAGATTTGACCTGTATGTAGGAGTGAGTTGTAGGACGGGGAAAAACAAGACTGTGGATCAGGACGCTTGAGGCTCCCGTGTGATCAGCAGACTGACAACTCTTAAGCATATATATGCACACACATATATGCGCACGTGCGTGTGTGTGTGCGCGCACACACACACACACACACACACACGAGAGTCCAGTGGCAGATATGGGTCTGACTACAGAGAGTTTGAGAAACTGCTGAGAACTGGAGCTCCCTCTGATGAGAGGGGAGATGCTGAACACTTTAGCAGTGGCCTGATTTAAAGAGATAATTTCTGTGCAATCTGTGAAAGAGCGGGGCAGAAGCTACATGTGGGAGGGCAGAAGAAAGACAGTTTCAGCAGCCAGATGTAACTTTCAGTTATTCTGAGGTAGAGTCTGGGATGGACAGATGTGGAGAGATGGCAGGCAGGCGTGTGGTACCTGTTGAAGATGCTTCCCTAGGGCTAGTTGCTTGGATTGATTTGGGGTGAAGAAGCATCTTATGTCACTTCCTATTGCTGTGATATCCTGAATAAAAATAAAACAATTTAATGGGGTTAGAATTTATTTGGCCACAATCCTAATATTACAGGAAGGTAACAGGGACTTGAAGTAACTGACCACATTATATCCACAGTCTAGAGCAGAGAACAATCAGTTTACACACACCAGTGTTTAGCCTATGTTCTCTTTGTCCACCATTCTAAGGCCCAGTCAATGAAATGGTGCCACCGACATTCAGGTGAATCTTCCCACCTTAAGTAACCCAACTTTGAAAACCCTCCTGTTTAGTCTAGACACATCCTCATTAAGACCCCCTTCTCAGGTGATTGCAGGTTATGTCAAGTTGACAATTAAAATCAGCCTGATAGAGGAGTCTTCATCAGTTTAGGTTGGAGTACCTGGATTTATATGAATGGAACTATCTGGAAGCAGACAGAAAATAAGAGAACTATAGCAAATCTAGCCCTAGACTGCTGGGTGTGAAGGGTCCAGAAGCCAAGGTTGGAAAGGCAGTGGTAGTGATGGTTGCTGCATTGTGCCTCAGTTTCTAGAAGCTTGTTTATGCTTCCTAGAGCGACTCTGGATTTTAGGAGCTAACTCACATTGGCTTCCCAGAGGCAGGAAAGCATTGAACCTAGAGGGTGGGCATTAACCCGGGGAGCTATGACAGCAAAGAGATTTGCAAGTTGCAAAAACTCCGGGGCAGTCATAGTGGGAAACTACAGTCAGTAACGAGATCTCTGAGTAGACACATATCCCGCATCCAGTTTTCTGCATGTGTATCTTCTGTGAGAATGTGTGAGTAGGCCTGAGCTTGTATTGCCGTGGCAATAAAGAATAAGGGTTAAGAGGAAACGAGAAAGGAATAGGAGATGACGACAAAGGAGGTGGTCCCGTGCTCCGGCAGGCATGTTTGAAGTTCTGTGTCGCTCTGACAAAATATCAGCAGGGTGACTATACAGGATGAAGTGAAAGTCATATTTGGCGAGGGTGGGTTTCCTGTGGGTGTCCACAAATCATGACGTGAAGACTGTGGGAGTAAAGGGAAGTGGTAAGTGGGTTGGAAGTTCTAAAGGGCAAGAGGTGGTGTGCGCATTTCCAAGGGCAGAGAAATGGCTGCTTACACAGCTTCTGATAAGCAAGTTCACAAGAACACGTCCGTCCTGTCCCAGCACAGGGGCAGCTCAGGAATGCCGGAGGAGCCATTCTGGGGTGAGTCACAGGGCATGGAGATTTGATGAGAAATGCTTGCTTTTAATGCCCACCTCCTATTTCAACTGCCTTTTTTCTTTGATGGTTCTACCTTTCAACCCTAGAAGTAAAAGTGTGTACCAGAAGAACCAAGGACAACATCCAGTTGTTCTAATCCCACAGAAGAGACCTGGAGGTGCTTGTGGTCTGAGCGAGACTGGCTAGTCTTTCCCATTGTGCCCCCAAAACTCGTATGTAGTGATATTTCATTTGTATTTTAATAAATAAAGCTTGCCTGAAGATCAGAGAGTAAAACAGCTCCACTGGGCAGCCTTACAGACCAGGCAGTGGTAACACACACCTTTAATCCCAGCAGCCACACTAGTTTACCCTAGAAACCGGGCAGTATTGGTGCACGCCTTTAATCCCAGCTCTAGAAAGAAATATAAGATGGGAGGAGACAGCTCTCACCCTTATTCTGATTCCTGGAGGCAAGATCACCATTTTGGACTGAGGTAGAGTTAAGAGCCAGTGGCTGACTGTTTTGCTTTTTTGACCTTCAGGTTGAGCTACAATATCTGTTTCTGGGTTTTTAATAATCGTGCTATACTTGTAGGCAGCAGTACCCAAGCCCAGGAGCTACAAGGATAGCAAGAAGACCAGCCAGCTGCCAGGGATTCTGACTCACAGTCATCCCACCTGCAAGAAACAGCCTGTGCTTCCTGAAGCACTGCCCCTAATAATTCAGCCCAACGTTGGCTGGCTTCCCACAATCTGCTTCTTTTGATTTCTGTTCTGATGTTGCCGGATGAATGGTCCTCCAGTGAGTCCTTCATTCATCTGAGTTACACCATGGCCTACATGCAAGTTTTTGAGGGCTCTGTTTTCATCATACTTGCTCACGTGTTGAATTGACTGACCTAAGTCACGTGGTCAAGCCCAGAAATGAAGTATTTTTGCCATCATCGAGATACTGTCACAGAAAGGGTTAAAGGCTCCTAGTGACAGTCAAATCCATAGCTCTGAAGTGTCTGATTTATATCTCATTATACTTATCCAGTAGTTCAGGGGAAATTATTTACCTCACAATAGAGGAAACAAAAGAACATCATGTTCATTCAATCTGTATTGAGAAACAACCAAAATGGTATCTACCTCAAACAGAAGCATCACACGTCATTCTAGGATAAAGAAGGACAATACACAGGATTAAACTCGCTCACAACCTCTTTGGGGAAACAAGCCTATCAATCACATACAGAAACTTAAAGCACAATCCACAACATGAAGCAGCATAGGTGAAAAACACTACCTGTCATTTACTGAACCTGTGCTAGGTGCTATGGTTTCTTATTACTGTAGCTCCTCCCATCAAACAAATGTGAAAGAAAAGGGTCTGTCTGGGATGTGGCTTAGTTGGTAGTGTGCTTACACTGCATGCATGAAGTTCTGAGTTTCATCTCAAGAACCACACACAACACTCCCATAATCCTAGGACTTGGGAAGTAGAGGCAGGAGGATCAGAAGTTCAAGGTCATCTTTGGCTATATAGTGAAT